CTTTGGTTACCATAGAGTGTATGGTATGAGAGCTAATATGTCCTAAACGAGCATGCCACGGAACTGTCTCGTTAGAAGCAACAAGTTGTAGACATTTCGATTTGATGCGTTCAACCTCCAAATCTACTTTGTATAGTCTATTCCTTGATCTGTTAGCTTTCACCAATAGATTTCCTTCTCGATCGTGCACTGTCAAGTAGTCTTCTCGCATTCTCACATCACAACCAGATTCAGTAGCTTGTCCCAAGCTAATGATGTTACTCTTGAGATCGGGGATATAATAGACATCTGTTAGAACCTTGCGTTGTCCTCCTTTGGTTAAAAATAAGATCGACCCTTTTCCTTTGATATCGACACGAGAATCATCACCAAACCGTACTTTACCCGTGATTGTTGAGTCGATTGTTTTGAACCAAGTATGATCTCCCGACATATGGTTACTCGCACCATTGTCTAAATACCACATCTTGTCCGATGATGCCTCAAGCTCTTTTGGAATCACATTTTTCTCATTGAGAAAAACCACTTCGTGCATCATAAGTGATTCCGCTTCTTGTGTATCATCTTCTGCTTTCTCTTGATCTTCTTGAACTTTGATTAGCTTGAGCAAGCGATCCGGACAATTAGACGCATAGTGTCCTAACTTGTCGCATCGATAACACGTGACTTTGGATGTATCACGTTGGTAATTTGTCCTTCCTCGACCTCTTCCTCTGCCTCGATAACCGCCACGACCTCTGCCTTGTCCTCCTTCTTGATCATGACCGGATGATGATGACTCTGAGTTTGCATACATAAGCTTGCCTTGATTCTCCTGTGATACCTCTGCAGCACTTATTCGTTCTTCATAAGTTTTGATTCTCCCAATTATATCCTCAAAAGATGTTGTTTTGAGATCCAAAACTTGTTCAAGGGTGGCCGAAATCTGTATGTACTTCTGCATTGGTAAGCTTTTAAGAAATTTCTTAACAATCTTGGTTTCTTCAATGCTTTCCCCAAGAGATGTTGCTTTAGAAGAAATTTCAGAAAGCTTGCCAACAAAGTCATCTATGGTGTCTGTCTCTTTCATCGTCAATCTATCAAACTCGACCATAAGAGTTTGAAGTCGTGCTTCTTTCACTCTTTCTGCCCCAAGGTTCCGTGTTTTGATCGCATCCCATACAGCCTTGGTGGTGTCTAAGTGTCCAAGTTGCAGCATAAGAGATTCCGAAACCGATTGAAAGATCAGGGCACTAGCTAGGTCGTTTTTATCAATATCAGTGGATCCAGGATCAATCGTATCCCAGACCTTATGAACACGCAACAGCAACCTCATCTTCATTGCCCAAGCAGTATAGTTCGTACTGTTTAGCATTGGACATTGAATAGAAGAGGGGACAGCCTCCTTCTTGTTGCTTGTTGGAACAATCTCACTCATGGTTTGATGATCTTAGTTTTTGTGTGTGTAAACCCAAGATCGTCAAGCTCTGATACCAAATCTAGATTTTGAGAAAGATTATGAATTCAAGAATTTAAAGAATAACTCTCTTTATTTGCTTAAGAAAATAACTCAAAACTTAAGCTTTCTAAAACCCTTAATCTCTCTCTAATCTCTTAAGGTTACCACAACTTTGATAACTCATATATATAGAGAAGAGATAATCCTTATTATAATAGGAATTGTATCTAGATAACTCCTAAACACAATCTAATCCCTAAGTCATAACTCAACTAGGAATAAGTAGCTTGTCTCCTAAGTCTTCTTCTTCAAGCTTATCCCAACAGCCGCATGTCTAAGTGGCCTTGTAATCTTGTATATGCATATTAGGTGCATCTAGAACGTATAGACTGGTTTGATATAATTCATATAAACAATGCAAAGTAGGTCATCCAACTATACCAGTCTCTTTGACATTTTCTGATCGACTCCTCTTATAATTAAACCAAAGGAAAATACACAAAAAGTTGAACAATAATAACTCAAAAAGATGGGGTATAGAAGCAACTACACTATCACATTTATAACCATCGTGGCGGCTCTATGGAGCGTTACATCAGCACAGCTGAGCCGGTCATGCGTGAGCACATTGACTACCCTCGCTCCATGTCTCAGCTACATCACCAGAAACTCAACCACTCCCTCGCAGAGTTGCTGCTCTCAGCTTGACTCTGTCATCAAATCTTCGCCGCAGTGCATTTGCTCCGCCGTCAACAGTCTGATCCCCAACATCGGCCTTAACATTAACCGCACACAGGCTTTGCAGCTCCCCAATGCCTGCAACATTCAGACGCCTCCCCTCACTCAATGCAACGGTAACACACCTATCTTATTTTATACACTATAAACATTGTTTCACTCACGACAGGGTGTTTGTTAAATAGAGGCCACTGGTCCAACAGCACTGCCTTCTGCACCTTCACCGGCGGAGAGGACCCCAGCCCCAGGTGTGACACTAACCCCAACCTCATTGCCAGGTGCTCGTTCAGGTACCTACTCCTCTTTTCACTAAAACCAAGCAAGATTCAATTTTTAGTTTATTAAATATATTCCCATTGCA